AATGGATCTTTGATTACTTATGTTATCATGTGATATGGGAATGTGGAGTAATAAATCTAGACCGGATGGACTTGGTGTGCGTGAGCCACAAGACATGGAGGTCTTGTGAGCGGGTTCTTTCCGCCTGTGTCGATTGAGGCCCATCCGTTGTTGAACTGCATGAGGTGAGACTTTGTAGTACTAACCACATACTCCGGTAAGCCTTAACTTGGCTATTCTATTATGAGAATGGCTACTTGCACACTGGGAGTGGAGAGATGACAGGAATAGCGTGTACCCACGTGGCAATGGGCTGGATTGATGGAGTACTGTATTCTCGGGTGGCGCGGACCTATTCTTGTTTTAGAGGATCCGAGGGTAGGTTGATATATGTAAGTCAGGGACCTGCATATGTCGTGTGGTCTGGAATTCCCAGCTGGGTTTTAATCGGTTTGAATCGTCGTTGCTCCTCGGTCATGGAGACTCAACTCACTGTTCATCATCGTAGTTAATAACTAAAATTTGAGCTGGTTTTGAGAATGAGTTTGATATGAAGTTCATGATCTCATTACGGATCATGGCAGATTCATATGTGGTTCTTATGAAGTTTTATATGTTGAAGTAAAGAATTTTGTTAAAGAGCTTTTACGCAAAAGAACTTTGATTATTGCTAAAGCCATACCTTGAATCCCTGAGCCTGCATTCCTGCGTTCTATCAGTTTTTATTTTCGGTTAAGTCTTGTTGAGTACTTTTGTACTCAGGGTCCGTTGACCCTTATTGCAGGTGAGCCTCATGAGCAGGTCTGTTTTGGGCCGTGTTGCATGACAGTTGTTCGATCCGATGACGATAAGTAAATGCGTGGCCCTTGGGCAGGGCAATCTATTTGTGTGTTTGTATTATGTTATAAGGCCACTCCACTACCACATTTTGTAATAATTATCGAACTTAGTTGTAAGGTTTGAAACTACTATTTTGTAAACTAAGTTATGGTAAGACTTCCGCTATTTTACTCTGATGTAGATATTTGAATAAATGTTGTAATACTGCAATGACTCTGTAATATGATCCTGCTCGGAAATCGTGGATGATTCGGGGTTCTCCAAGGACACCCGACAGTCTTCTTAAGTTACCAAGAACATATGCATAGATGTCAAAGGTCGTTGGACAGTGGTAGGTGCATGTGGGCCCTATAATTTAGGAGGTTCTGCCACACATACTCAGCTAGATTCCTCTGCGCAAGTTCCCACCTCTTGACAAAATATTCATTGCACTTTTAAAACGAGAACTCAATAATTTCAAACACGGGCAATGATCGAACTCCTTTGAATACATGGTTGAAAGACTCTAATGAGTTGGTGGTCATGATGCCGTACCTGAAACCGCCCTCGTAATATGCTAACGCCTGCTTAGCCTTCTATTCCATCTACGTCTCTAACCAGGCCTTGCCTGCTTCGTTTAGCATCTTGTCTAGTTCTCTCTTTGTTTTCTTGAACTGGTGCTCTGTACATACACAACATAGAGCCTTTACCTTGTCACAAACCTCCTTCCTCTGATACCTCCAGAAATTAGCGGCAAAATGTCGCATGCACCATCTGTGCACTAGAGGCGGGAACCCATTGATATGTTCATCTGTAGCATTAAGAAGCGCTGCGTGACGGTCCGAGATCAAACATATAGTGCGAGATGGGCCAATGCCTTATACACGTAGAAGTCGCATGAACCATGACCACGATTTATTGTTCTCTCCCTCTGCCAAAGCAAAAGCCATGGGTACTATCTGGTCCTCCAGATCAACAGCAGCAACCATCATCAAGGTGCCCCTGTACTTTCCGGTGAGGAAAGTGCCATCAATAAGTACGACTGGCTGATAATACTAGAATGCATGTTTTGTCTGTGCGAACGACCAGAACACACGATGCAGGACATGCCTCAACAGGTCCTTGAAATACATCCCTCTGATGTCTATAAACCATTTCAAGTTAGGGTTGTAGTAATGCATTACACATAATATTTAGGGAACCCTGTTGTACACTTCCTCCCAGCTACCCCAACGAATCGCCATGGCAATTTGCTTAGCACGCCAAGCCTTTCTATACTTCACATCATACTTAACGAATCCAGATATGGACTGTTGTAAGGAAGACACCGAAATGTCGTTATTGTCATCAACGAGCCCCAATATACGACACGCAAGGTAACATGTAGTGAGCTACTGATGATTTTCCTTCCCCTTATTTGATAGGCAAGTGTGGGGTTGGACCACTTTACTTATCCTCCACTTGCCATCACTCTGTCTCTTTTGTGCATTTAACCTCCACATACAACCATTTTTACATATCACATGGTACCTCAACTCTTGGTCCGAATGAGTGACGTTGTACGGCCTATGGTGATAGACAACATAGTCCTAAAGGAACAGCTTCATATCTGACATTGTATTGAATGTCATCCCCTTGCTAAGGATTTCATTCTCATGGCCATACAATGATTTCTTACACATCTGCAGACCGGTGTCACAAACTGCCATATCCGTCATACTGACATCCCTATAGTCCAGAACGCCACTGAAAGGTATGTTCATCTACCTCAGTTGCATAAGCTCTGTCGTTGTGTAGGGTGGTGGTAGAACATACTGTTGTGCTTTGCTAATTCTAGCCCATGAAGCATAGGGGGTATCATCCTCTGGCAAATCTATGACTAGTCTACCATGAGCCGATATAGCATGAACTACCTTAGTTGGTACTGCTAATGACATAGCATGAACCGGTACTGGCATGGCATCAATCGGTGTTGGCATAGCATCGCTACCTTCTTGGTCATCATCCGAATCATCTGAATCACTGCTAACTACATCACCGATCCTGTCCTCCTCCTCCTGTTCCTCCTCTTCTCGTTCACATCAAAGTCATTGCATACATAGCCTACTGAGAACCGCCTAGAATCATCGACTGCCATTGGAGTTGAATGAAGCTGCTCTTGCGTCAACTGACCGTCCAAATCCATGTTACCCTAAGTTGCTTCCCCTTCGACCTCCAATTCTTGTTCATTGCCTCCAACACCGTCAATGGACGACCCGTCCTGGAGACCCTACATCCTGTACCCATTCTCCACCACCACCTCAGCCATGGGTACATTGGAACCTTGGATCACCCTATTGTAGCGGGACCAGTGAGCACGGTCGTGCAAGGGCATCAAGACATAGTGTGCCCTAGTCTTTCCACTATCAAACCTCCCCTGTAGTGTGAATTCACCACCAAACTTTGCATTCAAACGGACACAAAGGTCGTTGAAGCTAGGAGGTTCATCAAACCATTCCAATTCTTCTTCCATATCCTAAAACATACCATCTTCTTTCCTAACACTTCCTCCGTAAAAAACTCGGACACAACAATCCATCTACAAAAGTATTTGAGGAAACTTCATCAAGTCGTCCAAATCGTCGTATCATGCACTACTAAATACCAACACTTCAAAGCTAGTATCTATACTAACTATCATTACTACTAGAAACTAACTAAACCCTAACTACCTAACCAATCCCTAAAGCCAAAGTCCTAACTAACAATAACCTAAACCCTAAACCCCAAATCCTAACTAACAAAAACCTAAACCCTACATTCCTAACCAAACCCTAAACCCAAAATCGTAACTAACAAAAACCTAAAGCCTAACTACCTAACCATACCCTAAAACCAAAATACCAAACTATACCAAATCACTAACCCTAATCAATTGATTCAAAAATTAATCACCAAAATGAGGGTCTTGGAGGGGGGTACCTTAGCAACAACGGGGAGACCTTCTGGGGGTCAATCCCGACGACGGAGAGGACCGCTGGCGTCCTTGCCGGCGGTGGCGGTGCCCGTACGGCCGGCCACCAAGGGAGGGGTAGCGGCTGGCCAAGGGGCTGACCCCCACCCTCTGAGCGGCCGACGGATGTGGAGGACCCAAGGGAGGGTGCGACCAGCGGCTGCTGGCGGGCGCGGGCGCGGGCGTCTGGCATCTGGCGGCGGCGGGCGCGTGAAAGGGAGAGAAAGGAATGGAGAGAGAAAGGGAAGAGGATGCCGCGTCGTGGGCCTCTACTGGGCCCTACCGCGCCATGTGCGATGGCGCGTCGGTGCCGCGCCAAGATCTGTGGCGCGACAGAGCTATGCCATGTCACCGGTCAGCGCCTGGGTCGCTGCCACGGTGGCAGCCTTGCCGCGCCGCCATGCATGGCGCAGTAGCGTAGTTTGGCCGCGCCATGGCAGTTGGCGCCTCCAAAAGTGCTAAATTTGAAAATAAAAAATAAACAGTATAAAATTTGGAAATAGTTTTAAACAAGTGTTAAAAAAATCACTCTTGAAGATGCCAAGGCGCATGACTCTAGCGAATTTGTCTAGATCAATAAAACCAAGCCCCCCATATCACGTTGTCTACAAGTCCTTTGGCCAGTTGATTCTTGATGGCCGGTCCAAAAGAAGCGTTTCCTATACTTGTCGAGAGAATCCAACTACTAGTAGAAATAAAACCATAACAACAACATACATCTATCACTAATTGATAGAGCTTGTTATACACGGCAGAAACTTTTATTGGTTGTGAAATTCTTACATTTCAAATGGACCCACAAAATCTTTAAAACAATGAATTACATACATACTTTCGTCTAGACAAAAGTCCCTTCTCTATTCAGGGTCGTCACTGTCAGACGTCTCCTATTGGACTCTTGCCTGTTGCTGACGATTGACCCCTTTGTCGTTGGTCCTGTTCGGACATTTCCATGCTCGATGGACAGTTTGTCTTGCACGCTGCTGCACCTGTCAGCACTCGAGCGCTTTCAGGTAGGAGTAGTTGTATACTAGTATTTGCTTGTTTGAAATCAGGAATTCAAATTTGTTCAGTACAACCAGCTTTCTCGCTACCCCTTTTAATTGTATATAAACTAGAAATCACTCTCCTTTTGAATGAAGAAAGAAAAACACAAACGGGAACAAACACTTGAGGCCAGTGAGGCGTTTTCTAATCCTGCTTTCTTAGATCACCTTGTGATGTGAGCGATGAAGTCTTCGAGGTCCTTGCGGGATGACCCGCCATCCGCCGCGGACGCACGGACGGCCTCGCCGATCGCCGTTGCCCGCTGCCGCACGGGTAGCCCATCGTCAGAGATCATCAACCTCTCGATCACCGCCTGTATGGTTGCCGCCGGTATCACCTCGGCGTGCTTCTCGCATGGCCTCACTAGGAAGCCTGCCTTGAGGTACTGGCACACCAGCTCGGCGTCCCACGGTTGGTCGGAGTGCATGGGCCACGCCAGGATGGGCTTCCCGTGGCTCATGCTCTCCAAGGTCGAGTTCCAGCCGCAGTGGCTCAGGAACGCCGCCGTGGCGCCGTGCGCCAGTATCTCCAGCTGCGGCGCCCACCCGGTGATCACCAGCCCCGTCCCCTCGGTCTCCTTGGTGAACTCGGACAGGAACTTGGCGTGCCGGCTCTCGTCGGACTCGGAGTATATGTCGGCGCGGTCGGCGTCGCGCAGCACCCAGATGAAACGCTGGTTGCTGCCGCGCAGCGCCGCAGCAAGCTCCTTGATCTGCTCGCCGCGCAGCGAGGACATCGACCCGAACGAGACGTAGAGTACGGACGCGGCCGGCTGCTTGTCGAGCCAACCAAGGCACTCGTGCCGCATCGCGCCAAGATCGTGCGCGCTCGGGCCGAGCATCGGGTTTAACGGGCCGATAGAGAAGACCTTCTTGCCGCCGGCGGCGGCCAGCTGCTGGGTGACAAAGTCGATGAACTCACCCTCGAGCGCGCGGGACGTGTTCATGACGACGCCGGCGCTGGACGGGATCGTTTGCGCGGACCTCGCGCTCTTGCCGATGAACTCGAGGAACTCCTCCGTCACGAAGGCGTGGACGGGGAGGTCGGCGAGGCCGTGCACGTCGCGCATGAGCTGGGTCCCGCCGTCCATGTGCCAGACGATGGACGACGCGGCGGTGCAGTGGAACGCGAACCCCTCGCCGTTGGGCAGCCGGGCGGCGTCCTCGGCGGCGAAGGCGTTGATGACGTCGTACATGACGACGACGCGACGGTGGGACGCGGAGAGCCCGCGGAGGAGCGCCGCGAGCGCGGCGGGCGCGTCGGCGATGAACGCCTCCCACAGGGGCATGAGGTGGGAAGGGTAGGGCGAGGCCGCGGCGGGGTCGGGCGGCGGAGAGGCGTACTCGGAGATGGCGAGCTCGTGGAAGTCGATGCGGCGGAGGGCGTCGTCGCCCCAGCCGTGCACGCGCGCGCGGGCCTGGTGGACGTGCTCCGCTGGCGCCGCGTAGTGCACGGGCAGCCCGCGCGCGGCGAGCTGCAGCGACAGGTGCAGCAGCTGGTTCAGGTGGCCCTGCGCCGGGAACGGGACGGCCACGACGGCAACTGACTCCATAGGGTAGTAGGGAGCGAGAGGGAGCGGCTTCTGTTTCCAACCACTGTGCACTCGACTGCCGGTGATCCCGTACGTGTGGCTCCCAGTGCAGCGGGAGGATGGCCTGAATACAGCGGCGTGCTATATATCCAGCTTCGCAGCAAGGCTGCAGTCCTGCGGTGCAGTCAGCGGTTATGCAGTGCTGACGCTGTGCCATGCCGCTCTGCCGTCTCCCGGCTGCCGGCGTACCATTCACGCGACACAATTTTGCAGGCCAACCGGCAACGGCACGACGTTTGCTTCAAGAAATTATTCCTGCTACTTGCTACACCGATGATAAAATTTCCTTTTCTCAGAGACTGATGACTGGTGAATCTGGAGTGCCTGCCAGTATAGTATGATTGAGTAAACAATGCTCACTTCTCCGTTTGATTTGGTCATCGTAGAAAAGTAGTTCTGCTTTAATTGACCAGACAATTTACAGTATAAGAAACGCTAGAAGCGTAGAATATTCAGAACGGAAGATCTTGGCGTCGTAAGTCTTTCCTGGTCTCTGTTTTGTTGGATCAGTGGATGGCAACGTGTCGGATGAGGCGTGGGTGGCTCTCTCAGTCACAGCACCCTAAGATCTTGTTAACCTAGCAACAGTTTCATTTATTTTCTCAAGCACCTTCGGCAAATCCTCCATATTGGCCTTGATCTTGGATTTGATGATGTTTACTTTTAGTAGAAGCTCTTGGTCATCTTCAGACGTTTCAGATATCACTGGAACTCCTACAGTGGACGTATGACGCAATTATTAATGTAATAATAAAAATAACTAGCAACATCAGATGTAAAAGATTGGGCATTTTAAATTCCGAAAGGTACTTGATCTGTGTAAGCTTAACTTGTACTTAAGATAATAAACATTCGAAACTAGTTTAATTTGGTTTTGTTCTAAGTCAAACTTCTCTAACTTTGATAAAATTTTAGGAAGGAAGAGTATATATAGTAAGATCTACATGTTTAAATGAATGCAAAATCAAAATATATTTTATGAAGAATTTAATGAAACTAATTTTATGATGCAGATATTGGTGGATTTTTTTTATAAACTTGATCCAAGTTTTAAAATTTTGATTTAGGATAAAAAAAAAGTGAATTGTAATTTAGAATGGAGGGAGTAACACTAAGTAACTACGACTCTTCAATGCAGCCCGCAGCTCACCAAAGCACTGAATCCACCGCCCACTTTGAGCCTCCAACTCCCGGGCGCTGAAGCCACCCCTCGACCGCACCCCTCCACACCGCCTCTGTCCTCCGCAGCGGCACGCTAGTGCGGGCGGTGGTGCCCCTCCGGCCTCTCCATCGGCCCTCGCCCCTCGAGACCAAGCCTCCTCCTTGTGCCTCGCCGCATCAGCTAGCCGGCGCTGGGGCTGGGTAGCGGGCGTGCCATGTAGATCCTGCTACTGGCTATACCAAAATTCACTAGACGTCTACACCACATCCATAGGCAATCAATGGACTCAGAAGGCCGTCACTGGATTGCATGGGACAAATTCACCAAGCCAAAGGGGGACGGAGGGCTGGGCTTCCAAGACCTAAGGATTTTCAACCAAGCTCTGTTAGGGCGGCAGGCCTGGAGACTGCTGGATAGACCAGATAGCTTGTGTGAGTGCTGAAAGCAAAATATTTTACAAACGGCAACCTCCTAGACACAGCTTTCCCTGTGAATCAGTCCCAACATTGAGAGACATTGTGCATGGGCTGGAGCTGGTGAAGAAAGGAGTAATTTGGAGGGTTGGATCGGTGACTCGAGTTCGGATCTGGAGAGACCAGTGGGTGTCGAGGGTCTGGAACTTACGACCGATTTGTAAGAGGTGGCCATGTTGCTTAAAGTAGGTCCATCATATCAGCTCATTGATCACCAGGATGGAATGGAATGCGAATACACTTAATAGATTCTTCTGGCCGGTGGATGTCCAGGAAATAATGAACATCAAGCTTCCCTCCACCCCCAGGGAGGATTTCTTTGCTTGGCATTATGAGCGGAATGGCCTTTTCTCAGTCAGGAGTGCTTATTGCCTGGCCAGGAGAACCCGAGCGGAGGAATTCGGAGGAACTCAATCAACGTCAGCCGACCTAGACGCCACACAAGATTCTTATATTCGGATGGAAAGCGATGCACAATGGCTTAGCTACGCAACTGAACAAACATCACAGAAATATTGTGGTACATAATAGATGTGAAATTTGTGGACACGGGGTGGACTCAGTGAATCATGCTTTAATCCAATGCTCGACAACTCCGATCAGCAATGAGACAGATTTGGGTATTGCCAGATGAGGAACAGTTACTATCTGTTGGTCCACAGAATTTGCTGGTATTCCTCATGGACTTGGAGGGGGATATGTGTCGGTGTTTCGGATCACCGGCTAGTGAATTTGCATCCCTGATGGTGTGCTCGGAGACACAAGGATTTATACTGGTTCGGACAGAATGTCCCTACGTCCAGTCTGTTGCTGCTCGTCTTACCGGCACTAGTTTGTAGTAGGGGTTACAAACAGGTGAGAGAGGGAGCGGTTCCCAGGTCTCTAGTGGAGAGATTGAAGAATACTGATAGTTTCTTCAACTGCTCAGTCGTGTCCTCCTTGCTCTTTTTTGGGGCGTCCTGCTTCCTCTTTTATAGGTGAAGGGGAAGGCGCAGGTTACAGAGAGAAAAAAGAAGAAAAGCAAGGGAGAAGAAGGCCTCCAAGGCCGCCGGGTCCTTCTTCTCCTTCATGCGGGTCCCACCGACACCTTAGATGGTGACGGGGACGGCTCCACGTCGGGCTCCTGTTCACCACTGGTGCCATGCCCCGACGTCATCAGCTGGTCGTGGCGTCCCATCCCGTCCCGGCGGACGGCGTGGCGAACCGACGTGCCTGTCCACGGCCGTATGGGGAGTAGGCAGCACAACGACCACGCACCCATCACTGTTGGCGATGTGAATCCCCGGGCGTGGCCTGACGTGGCCATGGGTCACGTTGAGACGTGTCCGCTTCCTTCCCGGTGTCAGAAGTTTGACCCTGAGGTCGTACCCTTAGACCCGTAGTGGTTGGAGGCGGTATGGATCCCCGTCGGGCAAGACGGAGCCTGTGCCCTTGGGGTCGGGCGGGACGGAGCCCGTGCCCTCAGGGTCGTGCGGGATGGCTCTCGTACCCTCGGGGTGGGGCAACATGGGCCCGTGCCCGAGGGGTCGGGCGAGACAGAGCCCGTGCCCTCAGGGTTGGGTGGGACGGCTCCCGTACCCTCGAGGTCGGGCGACACGGGGCCCGTGCCCGAGGGGTCTGGCGAGGCAGAAACCATCCCTTCAGGGTCGGTCGTGACTAAAATACGTCCTCGATTATCTAGGCGAGTTTGTCATCCGTGGTCCTCAGATCCCTTCTTTGGGTATCTCTAATACTGACACCCTACAGTAGCCCCTGAGCCTACGGAGGAGTAGGGTACTCCTTCGTAGGCTTTTTCAGATGGAGGGACTTCGAGGGCTTCGATCTTCTGCTGCCCATGGGATGCCTTGGTGGGTTGCGATTCCCTTCTATCGTGATCGGACTCCTTGGGAACATGTTGCTGCGGGATTTAGGAGGCCGGAAAAGATTTCTCTTGATTCTGATCCCTCCCTCGGATCTGATCGATCCGCCATCGTCATGCGACCATGTATTCGGTCTCCTTGCGAGTCCAACTTCCTTTGAGCCCCCGCGCATAGCAGGGGTCCAGTCGATGGGTCAGCTCGTCTTGTGATCGTCCTCCCTCAAGCGTTTTTTCGATAAAACGGAGGGGCTGAACCGTGCCATGTTTTCCTCGATGGACAAATCATGGTGCTCGGTGAGCTGTTAACGGGCTAGTCCGAGTGGGGCCCTGGCTTCCCGTTTGTGGGGGTCCAATATGGGTTAGCTGGTGACTGACTCCAGATTCTTGGCGGCCAATCCATATAGTTCCTAGGTCTGTTCGACCGGTCCTAAGGGCTCGCTGCCTTTCTTCAAGGAAAAACCATAGACTGTGAACCGACCAAGACTTGAACATGGGCCAGGATGCCTGCAGCACTCGTGCGCCCAGGTACTGGCCGCTTGTGGGCCCATTCCTTTCCACCCTCACTCTAAAGGCGCCTCGGAGCGGTTGTGAACCCGCCGGTGGGCCAACCTTTGAACTCCTGGGCCTGAATGTGCCGTGGGAGCGTTTTCAGCTCTATATCCCTCTTGACCTGTGGCGGTTCTCGGCCCATTGAATGGGGCGAACCATCATCCGGTGTGTCCTTCGAGGGAGTAGCCAGATGTGGCGTGCGCACGTTGCTCGGAGAGGCGATGTGACGATGCGCGGTGGGTGTGTTCAAGGAAGCGGAAAGAGGTGGCGAGCGCACGTTTCTCGAAGAGGTGATGTGACGCGGCGCGGTGGACGCGTAGATCTAGGCGGACGGTTCACCTCTCGCTTCACTCTGCCTTATAAATAGCAGCCTCCCCCTTCATGTTTCGGCACACTAAACCGCAACCTTGCGTTCTCCACCTTTCCTCTGTCGTTGATCGGATCTGCTGCCCTTGCTAATCCACAGCCAGCGCCCTAGATCCATAGCATTCGCTTCTCCACCACTACCAAAAAGTCCTTACTCCTCCGTCTTTGCTTTCCATGGAGTCATGGTACCGCTCCAACGTCACCCACGCACGCATGGAGGGCCTTGTCAAGCACGGTCTTCTTCACGGGAGGACCATCACGATGGAGTGGTTGGTTCTCGACCACGAGGATGTGCCGATGCCGCCCAACGGTTACATCTTCTCCTTCGCGCCCTTCCACGAGCGTGGGTTTACAATCCCCCTCATCCATTCTTTCGGGGGCTGCTGCACCACTACTAGATCGAGCGGCAGCACCTCAACCCCAATGAGATCCAACACATTGTGGCCTTCATCGCGATGTGCGAGGGGTGCCTGGATCGAGCCACACTTCGAGTTGTGGAGGTACTTCTTCGCATCTCCCTGCACAGGAAGAAGGACAGAGGCAGGGAGATCCC